CCAAAAATGCAGATGAACAAATGAAGAGCCATTTTGTTTGCGCTGAATAATGTTCTGTGCTTCCATCTGTGCTCCAGCCTAAAGAAGAGGAGGAACCTTCAGTGGACAAAGTACTTGAAAGCGACCAGGAGAAAATGAGCCTTGGGCTTCAACTGGAGAGGGAACCCTCTGAGCTTAAACCAGCAAAACCTGTGGAAGAAAACGGAGAGCAGGAAGCAGAACCCGTGCGGAACGGTGCCGAGAGCGTGTCCGAGGGGGAAGGGACCGACGCAAACTCAGGCTGCACAGAGAGCTCCAGCGAAGGGCCAGTGTACCAGCACAAACCAGGTAAGTCCTGTTTCGCTCTCGTGTGCTTCCTTGCTCTGCTGCCTCCCTCCTTTAAGGAGTGCTGGCACCCCCTGTGTCATCCCTGCGGATGGAAGGTTTCCAGCAGGACTAGACCGCGTGTCACCGCTCTGCCTGGATCCACCAGCCAGCAGATCCTGAGACACCTTCCTGGGGAGCACAAGGGGAAAATTGTTCTTGTCCTGCTGGTTGTGATGAAGAGATGACAAAACCCCTAATTCCTTGGATTTATTGTGCACATGGGTGTTGGCTGCAGCACGGTGCAAATGGCAGCGAGGTGGTTCCTCTGATCGATGGCTGAGAACCATCCAAAAAGTTCCATGTAAACCAGTGTACCTCTTCAATAAGAGGTTGGACGGTGCTCGTTGGGTCCTAAACAGAAATATTTGTGTTCATAGAGATTTCTTTTCCTGCCTTAAACAATTGCATAGATCTTTGTATTTCTGGAAGAGTAAAGAAAAGAAACAGTTCGTGGTTTTCAATCCAGGCACTGTCTAGCTCAATCCCACTGGTTAGGGTATATAGTGTATTTGAGGGGTGGTTCTGTTATTTGTGAATATATTTAATTCGTAGACCTGAACCTCGTTAATTCACCTCGTTAAGAGAGACTTTGAGGTCTCAGTTGCTCCCAGTTTCTAAGCCGTTTCTTTAGGATCCCAAAAATTGAAAGGGTATGAAAGCAGTGAGGAAGGACCTGGAGAACCTGATGGACAAGGCACTGGACAAAGAGCACCACCGTTAAGGGATTGCACTGCAGTGGTTATTTCTGCTCCACTTTGTTGTGACAAAGACCTCAATTGCTTTGGTCTTATTAATTCAGTACAGTGGTATTGCTGGGAGGAAACAGAGTTCTCTTGATAGTTGACCACACACTCAGGGTATCTGACCAGTCCATTAGCCAAACACTTCTTGTAGTTCATCCATAATTCATCATCTCTCTGTCTCCAACACTCCATACAGTCAGAGCAATCCCAGCTGGATCCAGATATCCTTTGTCTCAGCTGGAGGGCTTGGATTGATCCCTGAGAAAGCAACACACATTGAACACGTCCTGCGTGGCAGGCCTGGCCATTGGGTTTAGTAATGCCAGATTTCAGCTCTGATCTTCCTAAAAAGGGGAATATTTGCTTTTTGGAGGCATTGTGTGTTTGATCCTGGTCTCTCCCTGCATTGGGGATCCTACCTATGACACTGCCCAGCTGCTCTTCATGGTAAAACAGCTCAGTGAGAGCTTCTCAGGAGGAGGAAACCACATATCAACTGTTGTTACTGTAGGTGGTTTTGCATGATGAGTGGCAGGCAGAGTGGCTCCGTGGACAGGCCAGGAATTCTGGCTGGGACACAGCTAGCCAGCCAAACCATTTCTGCACCCCTTTATCCCGAAGCTCTGTAGAAATAGAACTGCACAAAGAGCTGAAATTTGTGATGACTTATGTGCATTTTCATTCCCAGTTGTCAAAACCCATTGTTATAGTGAGTCCCAGTTTGTGGCCTCTCCAGGTGAGGATGTGAGAGCCCAGAAACCTAAAGGTGGTCAGGGAATGAAATGGAGAAACAACAAATACCTGCAGGGCTGAATCAGCGTTGAGCAAAGCCTTCAGGCATCCGTGAGATCCAAAGGGAGCATCTCCTGCAGATGTTTTCCTTCAGATAACACATGTTTTCTTTCCCAACTCCAAACAAACTGTGTGGCCAGCACAGAACATCCCTTCTCCAGGCCACCAGTGGCCTCATCCTTGCACTGAAGTGCTGTAGTAGTGGCTGTAGCAGTCACACTGTGATTTCCACCAGGCAAGGTCCTCCATGCTTCAGTTCTGCCCAGAAAACCCTATGAAAAATGGGTGGAAAGTTCTAATTTAAGAGCATGGCCTGTGGCTCTGTTTTCCTCTGGTTCCCCATTATCTCTGGCCTGGAATGTTCACAGCTCTGTGTTTTCACACCTTCCAAGGATATTTTTGTTTCATGCAGTGTTCTCCTTGACTCTGTTTATCATTCCATTTTACACCAGACCAACCACTTTAACTCCTGCATTTCCACCCAGAAACTGGGAGTTGGCCCTGTTTCACCACACCCCACAGGAGGGTGAAGGTCCAAGTTGGGTACATGGGTTAGAGCTGGAAGTAGTGACCACATCTGTGTGTGATTGCTCTGGGCCTGGCTTTGCACTGCCCATGGTTTATGTTCCTTAATGCTGTGTGTATTCTCTTCTCCCTTCAAAATGAAAATAAGTTAGGATTTCCCAGGCAACTGTAGCAATCTCTTCCCTTTCGATTTACCAGAGCCTTATCTGGGTGAGCAGGGAGTTTGTTCCTATGAACCTCAGGGACCTTCTCTCCCTATAGAGCAGTGGAAGCCCCAGGGCCCGGGGGGGAAGAAGCAGTACGACCGGGAGTTCCTGCTGGATATCCAGTTCCTGCCTATCTGTATCCAGAGGCCGGAGGGGCTCCCTCCCATCAGTGACGTGGTGCTCGACAAGGTGAGAGGAGAGCCCATCAAACAGGTACGTGCAGGGGTTGATGGGAATAAAGAACCCTATAGCATGCCTCCTACCTGGATGTTCCCAGGTTGGGTTTTACTGGGAAGGGGAAGGAGTTGCTGCCATCACAAAATTCTTCCAGTAGAGGCCTTGGTGCCTGGTGAACGTGCAGAGGTGATTAAAATCTGAAGTGTTTTTAATGGTCTTTATCTGGATTCAGTTTACACTAGGCCATTATCAAAATCTGATATGATCCAGCCATGAAGAGGTGAGGATCCAAGCAAGGCTGGACAGAGAGCAGTGGCTTCTCTTAGATCAATTCTACGGTTAGAAAGCAGAGAGAAGCTCTTGGGCAAATTCCTTTTTTGATCTGAAGCAGTGGTGTCACAGCTTATGAGCTGATCTGATAAAAGGTCTTTAAAACCCCAATTCTCAGGCAGGTTTGTGATTTCCCTCCAGCCTTGTTACAGAGGTTATTGGCTCTGCTGTATGTCTGGGCTTAGTGAGACTCTTGGGATTTCTGAGTGCAGTCACCAAGACCTGGTTCTTCTCTCAGTTAGAACTGGGGAGTTCCTTGGTTTTGTTGTAACCCCTCAGTCTCACTCAAGGGTACAAGTGATCCTCATGTGCAGAAACATTTCCACTCTGGGCTTCATGCCCAGGCAAATTGCAAAGCACCACTTTGTTCTCCAAATGTCTTCATCCACCTACTGGTTTCCTGTGGTTGCTTCTCACTGCTCTGTCTGATCGAGCTCTTTCAGCTCGGTCACCCATCTGTCTTGTTAGCTCAAAAGCCATTGGGGGAAGGTAGCAGGTCTGTGGTCCTGAACCAAGATATGCCCAAGTCACCATGATTTTATCCTCAGTAACTCCTGCTCAGCCTTGCAGTGTTTCTGAACTCAACCTGTTCCTTCAGAAAATGTATTTTAAAATAGTGCTTGTTGCAGCTTAAGTGTGGATGCATAGAACTCACACAGTTTGCTAAAAGTTTTGATTTGGGTATTGAATGTGCCGATACGATATTGAATGTGGCAGAGATTGTCTGTAGGTTGCGTGACCGGTGGTGGTTGATCCCCCCCTGAACAGCTGCTGTGTGTGTTCTGCTCCGTGGTGCAGGTCAACCAGCCGAAATTGCCACTGAGAACTCTGGACCCTCGGATCCTGCCTCGAGGCCCAGACTTCACACCAGCCTTTGCTGATTTTGGGAGGCAAGCCCCGGGCGGAAGAAACATGTCTGGAAGTGTGAGTTTACCCCAACTTGCTAATTTAAAAACTGGCCTTAACACCGATGAAGCGTGTTCTGCTCCGTGGTGCAGGTCAACCAGCCGAAATTGCCACTGAGAACTCTGGACCCTCGGATCCTGCCTCGAGGCCCAGACTTCACACCAGCCTTTGCTGATTTTGGGAGGCAAGCCCCGGGCGGAAGAAACATGTCTGGAAGTGTGAGTTTACCCCAACTTGCTAATTTAAAAACTGGCCTTAACACCGATGAAGCCCATCTTCAGGCGGCCTCTTCCTCTTCCGATGCTCTGGTGGTTCTGGTTTTGTCAGGATGAATGCAGGGGTGATGTTTGCTTGACTGACAAAATGTAGGCAATTAGAAACCATTGTGGATGTTTTTCACTGGTATGTATTGGTCTGGAACGGGTTTGATCTTGCTGTGCTCCCTGCGTGCCGTGGGTGGAAGTGTGTTCCGCGCCGGGACCCGCGGCTGCGTGTGTGCCGTCGCGCGTTCGTTGTGCAGCCTGACGTCTCTGCGTACCGTCGTGGACTCCATTTATAAAACACACTATAGACCAAACGGATTTTACTAACACAAGGAAAAAAATGCATTGTGCCTGTGTGTGTTCTTGCTTTCTCTGTGCTTCCACGTGTTGCTTTGGTCACTTCATTCCTTGTTTTCCTGCATTTTCCGCTGCTTTTCTTTCTCTTTCTCTTCTTTTCCCTGTGTCTGGCTTTGCACACACTCTGAAATACCTCTCGATTTCTCCACTCTTGCCTTTGCCTTCTCTTCTGTGGGGCACAGGTGCCCTCCACCTTGTGCCACCTCATCATCGCAGACAGAGGACAGATGCTGCCTCCGTTAGGGGCAGTCATTGGCTTTCATCTATTGAGATCCATCCAGTGTATCCATCCAGATGTGTCTCATGACACAGCCATCACTGATCTTTCAAACCTGCTGGTTTCAGAAGAGCTCCCCGCATCACCTTGACTTCCAAGCATGCAGGTTTCCAGGAGTCAAACCCAGTGATTTTGGTCAATGTGGTGTTTCTGGTTTGGGAGTGGCCTCGTGGCCGGTGCCTCACTTCGGGGGTGCACATCCATGTCTTGGAGTGGCCTCGGTGCCACAGTTTCTCTTGGAGCACCATCTGGTCCACAGAACCTTGCGCAATCGACATCACTTCCCATGTTTAGGACTTGCAGATTGTCCTGTGGCGCCTTCTCTCCTGTCATGTGCTGAATGTCCCGAGCCGCTCGGCGTCATGGTAATGTCGCTGTTGCTCTTTCTCTCTCCGCAGGCCTGCAAAGTGCAGAGCAACCCTGGATTGCCCTCCCTGGCTCGGTGCGGGCCCCCAGCATGCCCTCTCTTGGTCTCGCCTCACCCACCATTGAGGAACCTGCCAATAGGGGTAAGCCAAATCCCTCCCTCTCTCCCCAGTCTTTGCACCTTTTTGTAGAGTTGTCCTTTTCCCCAATGCACTGTTGATAAAGAATGACTGGCAGAAAACTTTACAAAAAGGTGCAACCTTGTTTAAAAAAGAACCGAAACAAGACTTGCATTGTACCCCTCTAGGCAGTCTTCAGTGGTGGGTGGGACATCACCAGCTGAGGGCATGCTGGGACGTTGGCCTGAGCGGGATCCGCGAGGGTCTGCACTTTGCAGACCTGTGGAAAGGGGGAGAAAAGGTAAGTCCCGCTTACCCCGTTCATTTGGAGCATTCAGCACATAACATACATCTTACATTTGCGCCTTTGCAGAGCAGAGCCTCTCTTTGCCTCGGGCTGCAGGAGGGCTGGACGGTGACGTTGTTTAACCAGCCCTGCTGTCCCGTGACACCGGCGGTTGTAGGATCAGAGCGTGCTCAGCCCCCAGCGAAACCGGACGTTTCCCTTTCGTGAAGCATGGCAACCCCTGCGTGTGCGCTGTCTGTCCCCCCGGCCATCCCACCTCTGCACAGGCCATGCCCATGATCCATCCAACCCGCTGCCTCTTCCTTGCCCCCGAAATAATGTCGAGCGGCTCAGCGCTAACAGCTTTCGGCACGTCAAGAATCTTTTGTTTTGCTTCCTTGGCTTTTATTTCCCTCTTTTCGCTTGAACGTGTTGTATGACTGGTTTTGCCACTCACAAATGTCACCCCAGACAGCACCAGGGGTGTGACCGCGTGGGAGCAGAGTCTGGCCGCAGAGGCCGTTTGGTGTAGGCAGCAGTTAGGCGAACGCTGCGGTGATGAGACGCGGACACAGGCACAGGGATGGGGACGTCCCTCCCGTCCCCGCGCGCCGAGGCACGATGCGTCCGCTTCATCCTTCCCGAGAGGTGACGGAAACTCGAGTCACCTCAGTTCTTGCGCTTCCTCGAAGGCAGAGCCTCTCCCAGTGTCGACACTCGGTTTCGCCTTCTGCATCCAAGCCTCTTGTAAAGGGAGACGCACTCCTTTAATCCTTTCAGTGATTTCAGAGTGTTTCCGTGACTTGTGGGCCGTGAGGGAGAGCCCTGCCTGAGCTGTGCTGCTGTGAGTCTTTGGCTCCTCTGCAGGAGCCTTATCCCTGTTTCTTTCTGCTTTCCTTTTCCCCCCTCTTCATCCAAAGATAGGTCATTTGGAGTGATGCAGGAACACCTGGTAACTGCTCTGGGCTGTGATGGAAAAGGTTAGCCCAGTGCAGGCTGTGATGCTGTGAGTGCAAGTGCCCCAGAACCACCATGATTTACTTGGCCTGGGGTACAGAGAGGAGGCCAGGCCTGAGCCCAGGCACCTCTGTAACTTGCTGCTGTGGAAATCTGGAACCAAAAACCCCAGATTTTTTCTCTTCAAAGTTTGATCCATCTACTATTTTATTACGCGTTCAAAGGAGGCTTCTGTTCACTGGTTTAATTAAGCAGTTTGAACAGAGTTTATTCACAGATACTAAAAAATCCAATATCAAAGAATGTCTTTGGTCTGTTGGTGCACAGAAGTGTCTGGTCTCGAAGGCAGATGGTTGTGAGGACATGTGACATGCTGGTACCCAGGAAATGCACAGGTGTCCGTGCATCCCGCAGTCTGGCAGGGGAAAGTCGCCTCCTCCAGGGAGGAGTGTTTTTTGCTCCCAGAGCCAACACTTTGGCTTTCTGTGGACCCGTGCCCGAGAAAGTGCCACGTCTCTGCGGCTCCATCCTGGTGTGTTGCAGCCTTGATGCTGATGGAAGGTCCTTCAGACCAGAACTGCCTCTGTGCAGGACATGAGGTGGTGCAGGTTCCCTCTGCTTGGCTTTGCCCCAGTTTCTGGGAGATATGAGCCCAAAGGTTTGGATTTTCAGGGCACACTGCTAGCCTGGCTCTCATTCCTGGGCCGTCTGCGGGGCAGGAGGTGTGTGATGAGCTGCTTGTTTTCTGGATTTTCAGCTGGAGGGAAGTTTCTTCTCTCCATTTTTGCAGTGTGGTTAGAACCTGGACAGCAAAACGGTGTGAAGTGGCCTAACAGCAGAGGTGTGTCCGAAGGCTGCGGTCAGGCTTTGCTGTGCCGTACCGGTGTCGATCGAGGGCTCGGGGTGGGGGCAGAGAGGGGCCGTAGGGAGGCAGTGGTGGCTGCTTTAGGAAGGCGCTTGATGCACAAAAGCCTGTGAAGGCTTGAAGTTCTCACTGTCTCCTTCCACTGTTGGTTTCTTGGGAGCAGTCAGCTGGCGTGGTTGCATTACAGGCAGTCAGGGTTGGATTTGATGATCTTGGAGGTCTTTTCCAAGCTGAATGATTCTGTGAGTTACAGCTTGCGCCCCCAAAAGTTTGACGGATCTGATGGGTTATTTCTGTGCGTGCCAGAGGGATCTGAACGGAGCTCTGTGTAGGTCATGGGGCAGCACACTAACGGGCTGCACCACGTAGCTCTCTCCCAGGCATCGCCTCGGCGTACGGAACAATCATGGCATGAGGTTGTTTGTCTTCTGACATCTTTCTTTGTTGCTGTTATCCCATACCAAAGCCCAAGCAAGAACTCCAGCAGTGGAGGTGATCATGTTCCTTTGCTTTCCTCAGCAGCTCACATTTAGCAGCACACAAAGGCAGGCTGTGTGTTCGACTCACAGATCATCCTCCTGCCTTTCAGAGGATTTTGGTTTTCAATAGTGCAGACCAAGGTTTGGGGCTGATCCATAACATGAGAGGCACCAGCCAAGAGCACTTTGCTCCGATTCAGTGAAGCTGTTTGAATCACTGCAATGGTTTGGTCCCTCTGGTGCTCACTGAATCCCTCTGTTGAGTGAAGCAGTGTTGGAAACGGCCCGTCTTCCACAAGAGGCTGCCTGCTGCCTCTAGGAGATTAATTACTGCTGTGGGAGGTTCCAGGGTTGGTAACGGAGTTTTGTTGTTGTGCTGATCTTTTCCTTGAGGTTGGACATCTCTGATAAATGAGTTCAGAAAAATGAAAGAGCACAGGCGGAGAACAACCTCCTGACAGCACGTGGTACCTTTAGTCCTTAATCAGAAGCCCCCAGATAATGAAGAGGGAGCTTGGGGATGTCTTCTGCCCCATCACTTGTATGATCTGGTGAAAAACCCTCCAGTTTTGGCAGTTTCATACCTGATTTGTCCAGGAGGAGCATCACATTACACAGAACTGCAGAGGCACTTGGTGTTGTTCCAAAGCACCCGTGTTTCCCTTTCTTCTGTGAAACCACAGAGTTTGACCCATGTCTGTTAGGATCCATATTTATAGAATTCAGGAGCTGCACTGATGCTCCTCCAATGTATTTTGTGTAGTTCACATCTCAGAATGGCTCATTTGGAAGCAGTCTCCAGTAGGATATAATGTGTCTGGCAGAACTGCTGATTTGTCATTGGCTAATTGCTTGGGATGGCACGTTTGAGATACACCTGTAAGGACTCAATCCTTACACACCTTTGCTGTGGTGACTCAGTTGCGCAGTTCTTGGCTTCCAAGAGGCTGTTTTGGCCAGTTGGGTTCAGTTTTGCCCCACTGTGAACAGCGCCCAGAGCATTGCTGATGTGCACAGGCAGTGTCATCCCGGGTCTGTTTCAGGAAAAGCTTCCTGAGAGAAGCGTCTCTGGTGCCTTCATGTTCCCTCTGCTCACCCCGGAGCGGTGTGTGGGGTCAGAGGGACTGCTCAGAGTCCCAGGAGGAGGTGCTGATGGTCGGCTGTGCCAGCAGCAGGTGTTGGCATGTGCCCCGGAGCGTGCTATCCAGGTGTGGGTTTAAAAGGGGATATAACAAGGAATGTTTTTGTCCTAGTTGTTGAATGTTGGACCGAGGAGATCTCAGCCGGGCCAGAGGAGGGAGCCCAGGAAGATCATCACTGTGTGTGTGAAGGAGGATGTCCACCTGAAGAAGGCAGAGAATGCCTGGAAGCCAAGCCTGAAGAGGGAAAACCAAACCGAGGACCCAGAAAATGTCAAAACACAGGTGAGAGCGTTAGCAGGAGCGTCTCGGGGTACTGCAGCCTGCAGGGGAAGGAGGATGGTAATTTGCCTTCACCCTTGTGTCAGACAGTGGAAAAGGGCAATGAATTCCAGTTAGAATCCCAGCTTTCCCCTACCTTGACGGTATTCGTTGTGTGTTTATTCTTGACCTGGACTTTAAATGCCAGTCCTGTATATTAAACAGGCAACACCAGACAACCTACTACCTCTTCCAGGACTGATTTTCTGGTGCTGTACTTCTGCAATATTTCTGTCTCCATTCTAAAGCAAACAGCCTCACATTTCAGCACAGAACTGGCTTTTCAACCCCTTTTAGATCAGATTTCCTCCCTGAACCTCACCAAGACTGAGTTTCTCTCTGTGTCCTACTCCCCCTCCTTGGGACAGCTGCTTGACCACCAGTTTGTCTGGTGGTCAAGCTCATAATTTGTAGGATAAGTTGGGATGGTCTTGAGGAACACTGGAATTCTGTTCTCAGAGCTCACAGCAACATTGTTGATCTGATTATCGTTCTGGATAGGAAAAAAATAAAGTGGAAAAAAAAGTAAATACTGGACAAATTGGTTACCTCTGGTTAAGAGAGACAGAGGCCACTCCCTTTAATTTATATCTCCTGGATGAAGTTGACACCTGGAAGTGTATTTCTGGCAGGAAAGGCTTTGTGCCTCTGTTGCACTTGAGAGTGCATTTGGGTGTTTCCAGAAGTCCTGCCTTGCAGCCTTGGTCTTTGATAGCCAAGTGAGAACTGGAACTGGGCTGGGCTGTGCAGAAACATGTGATGTGTAACTCAGCTTCCTAGACAGTCACCTGTAAGGTGCCTCCTGGCTCGTTCCTGAAAGCCACCTGCTCCCTTTGTGCCTAAGCCTGAAGTTTTTCTGTTCTTCAGGAGCTGTTCCGCAAGGTACGAAGCATCTTGAACAAGCTGACACCTCAGATGTTCAACCAGCTCATGAAGCAAGTGACAGACCTGACAGTGGATACAGAAGAGAGACTGAAAGGAGTCATCGACCTGGTCTTTGAGAAGGCTATCGATGAGCCCAGTTTCTCGGTGGCCTACGCCAACATGTGCAGGTGTCTGGTGACGGTAAGAGCCACAGGTCAAACGGGACACTCCTCTGTGCGGCGACTCTTCTGCACGTTATCCCCAGGGGCTGATTGGCAGTGATATAAGCGTGGGGGGAGCGAGTTAAGTGTCAGGCTCTGAGCGTAATTAGAATAATTCACATGATGGATTTCTGTTTTGCCTGAGGCAGAGGGATTGGTTTGGAGCAATGTGCTGTTGGGAGTTGAGGACTCTTCGCTCTGCCTGGTTGCAAAATGCGAGGAGTCATGTTTGGGAAGTTCATAGGATCCCAGAATAGTTTGGGTTGGAGGAACTATAGGGCTCATCTTGATCCACGCCCTGCCATGGGCAGGGACACCTTCCACCAGCCCAGGTTGCTCCAAGCCCTGTCCAACCTGACCTGGAACACTTCCATGGATGGGGCAGCCACAGCTGCTCTGCGCAGCCTGTGCCGGTGCCTCAGCACCCTTCAGTGTCTCTCGCTTCTAAGGGCAGCCCAAGGGGCCGAGCCAGGCGTCACACAGCTCGTTTTCAGTTGGTGTATTTGGGCCAAAATAACCCCCTTTTCCCCAGTCTTTCATGCCGTGCAGCGAAGGAGCACAGCTCGGGTCTCCAGGGCACAGCAGGAGTGTTTTTAAAGGATCCTGTGGATGGAAATGTAATCCGTCTCCAGGCGGAGGTGGTACCAGCCAAATTTTGAGTGTGACTTTACATCTGCAGTGTAAAACTCTGCTGGAAATCATAACGTGATGCTTCCCTCTCACAGCCTCGTGGAGCTGTGTGGCTCAGGATGAAGTGCATGATAAAATGTTGTGGATGGCTTACAGGAACCCTCACTCCTCTGTGGAGTTTATCCCTGTTTCAACTGCTGTTTTTCTTCCTCCTCTTGCAGCTGAAGGTGCCCATGGCAGACAAACCTGGGAGCACAGTAAATTTCCGTAAGTTGCTGTTAAATCGCTGCCAGAAGGAATTTGAAAAGGACAAAGCTGACGACGACGTCTTTGAAAAGAAGCAGAAAGAGCTCGAAGCTGCTACCACTGTAAGTGGTATTTTCCCCCATAAATTCTCAGACTTCACACGGAAAATTACTTTCTTTTGAGACAGCAGTGGATTTGGGGGAGAATTTGGGAGTAGAGAGTTTCGTTCTGTCACTGTGCCTGAGGATGATAAAAAATATTTCCTTGTTGGCTGGTTTCTACCAGCCTTGTTTTGAGTTTCAGAGGAAGAAGAGTAAACAGGGTCAGCAGCAACTCTGAATGTAAAATGGGATCTTTGAAAGAGTTCTGTGCTGGGGAATGTAGTCCTACAGAGCTGTTTCCCTGTCTTGCAGCCAGAGGAGAAGACGCGGCTCCACGATGAGCTGGAAGAGGCCAAGGACAAAGCCCGACGGAGATCCATTGGGAATATAAAATTCATCGGTGAACTGTTCAAACTGAAGATGCTGACCGAGGCCATCATGCATGACTGCGTGGTGAAGCTGCTGAAGAACCACGACGAGGAGTCCCTCGAGTGCCTTTGCCGCCTGCTCACAACCATTGGCAAGGACCTGGACTTTGAGAAGGCAAAGGTGGGGCAGGAGCGAGGGATGAGGCTGTCTGGGCAGGGCTGGAAACATGGGTGTGGGCTGTTTTTATTTGAAGATTTGTTTTTTCTTCAGGAATTTCCATAGGGCATGAGGAAATCATCTGCTCTTCTGTGGATATTTCGTCATGTCCTGGCCTCGCTCCCTGCTCTGTAATAGAGTCTGTGTCATTTTCAGCAGTGTTCTCCAGTGTTAGTTGTTTCCAAAGATTTTACCCAAACACACGGTCCAGAAATGCTAAACAGTTACTTTTTCCAGATTGAATGTGCCTCTTTCCTTGTAGTCCTCAAAACATTAATATTTGGAGTTGTTTCTGCAGCACTGAAGGTTTATGTTACCTACAAAATCCACCAGTTAATGTATTGTTCAGGTCTGACATAACCATCATTATCTGGTGCAAACCCCAACCTGAGCCTTGGGGTGCTTTGTTTTGTGTCATCACTGTCTCCAGCTGTGCTGGGATGAAGCAGCTGTTCTGCAATCACATCTTCCTCCCAATTTTCCAGCAAGTATATCTGTAGCATGGAGTATTATGCACTTCATGAGCTTCTCTTGGCACAATCTGCTTCTCCTTGGGATGAAAAACTCAAGGGTTTTGCCAGCAATCAGTCAGACTCGTCTCTGGAAACAAACAGAGCTAATTGTGTTCAGCTGCTCAGGGCAGGGAGTTCCCTTCCAGCGTGCTGGATCGCAGGGATCACAGCGGATCAGTCCTGAGCCTTAAGGGCCAGCAGTTTCCCAAACAGTTTTGAGAGCACTGACCAAAACAAAGTAGTTTAGCACCAATCCCCAGGCTAAATGCCCTGTGCTGTGTGCAGTGGCATGTGCATCGTCCATGCAGGTTTGGCAGTGCCAGAAACAGGGATTCAATTTCTCTGCTTGTACTGGGAAGAAGACAGGCTCTGAGTTCTAAGCTGAGCTCAGGCTGGAGGAGTGCTGGATGTTATTTTGGTCCTTGTGAGCATGGAAACACTGCAAAAGCCAGTATTGTGGTGCACTGGCCAGTTCTGCACCCTCAAGCCTTGGCATGGTGGAGTGCAGAGCAAGGGAGTGATTCCAGTTGCCTGTGTTCTCTCCTTGGGATTTGTTATTTCTACCAAGACTGAGTGAGAATCCTTATTAACAGGGTAGATGTTAGATTACGTGTTTTTATTGAAGCTGAAGTGTTAGTGGTTGTTGTAATAGAAGCTTCTGAACAAAGTCCATTGGCAGAAGTTTTCCCTGTCATTCCTAACTGTGGAAACATTGGCTCTCAGAGCTGGAACTTTCCAAGGCAAGGCCAGACCCAAATTTTAGTGGGTTTTTTTCTTGTTTGTTTAACTGCGTGGACAAGGCTTTTGCTGGTTTTTAGGGAGTGGGAAACACTTCAGAAAACTCTGAACCCTCGAAACTCTGCTTAAAACAGCCCAGGCCACTGTTTTGGGGAAAAGGCTTTTTGGAGCCTGGTGAGGCAAATTTAGACTTAACAGAACCTTCTCTAATGATGCCAATTCATGTCTTAGCGTGAACTGATTGAGATTCCACCACATCACACTTTCTTGGATGAAAAGAGCTTACCTTTGGGGGATTGCTTACCTCAGCTGAGCCTGTTCAGCAGCTCTTGCTGAGAGGTGCAGTGCTCAGCCCCAGTGCTCAGCCTGGCCTGGCGCAGGCAGCTCGGGGGTGAAGCATGAAGTGGTGTGTCCAGGGTGAGTTTTGTACTCATTTAGTTTCCTGAGCCAGTTTTTCTTGGGCTGAGGTGAGCACATGGCTGATTTGAGGGGCAGGAGATCAGATTCAGATAGATTTGTAATGGATATAAAGTTTATTGTGTGTATGCAGAGGTTATTTGAGTAATTACAAATCCAGGGAAAGTTTGTGCCCACACACTTGTGCCTACTTTCCTGCACATTTGTCCCTGTACACACTCAAATCCAGCCTGTGGGGAGTGTGGAGACCCAGCACTCACCCCTCCAGGGAGCAGCTCCATGTCCCCAGGTATCTGGCACAGAAGTGCTGGAATGCAGAACCCACCGACTCCCCACCGAGAGTTATTTGCATTTTCCTCCACAACACACTGATGATGATGTTTTTCTTGTCCAGCCCCGCATGGACCAGTATTTTAATCAGATGGAGAAGATTGTAAAAGAGAGGAAAACCTCCTCAAGGATTCGGTTCATGCTTCAGGATGTAATAGACCTAAGGCTGGTAGGTACCAACTCCAGAGTGTAAAAGACCAGAGTCATGGAACCCAAGACTGGTTTGGGCTGGAAGGAACCTTAAGGATCATATTGAACCACCCCCTGCCATGGGCAGGAACACCTTCCACCAGCCCAGGCTGCTCCAAGCCCCATCCAACCTGGCCTGGAACACTCCCAGGGATGGAGCAGCCAGTTTCTCTGGGCAACCTGTGCCAGTGCCTCATCACCCTCACAAGGATGAATTCTTTCCCAACATCCCATCTGTCCCTGCCCTCTGGCAGTGAGAAGTCATTCCCTGTGTCCTGTCCCTCCAGGCCCTTGTCTTAAGTCCCTCTGCAGCTCTCCTGGAGCCCCTTCAGGCATTGGAAGGGGCTCTAAGGTCTCCCTGGAGCCTTCTCTTCTCCAGACTCAACACCAGGCTCTCTCAGCCTGTCACACTCCCAATTTCAGGCTGGAAGACATCTCATGCAAGAGCAGGGATTTACAGCACCCCTTCTCCCAAAACCCTGGCTGTTTACTGACAGGAAGTGTCTCCATTGTGCCCTGACGCAGGCTGCAGTCAGTGCAGGCACAGTGCAGGGTGTCTCCACGCTGCAGATGATGTGGCTGCAGGGGGTACAAACCCTCGGGGTCCCTATAATCTTACCCACAGAGGTGCCAGTGGCAGCTCGGCCTTGGCCTGAGCAGGTTTTGCTCAGACCTCAGGCAGCTGTGTTGAAGCTGGTTTGGGGTTTGGGGAGGCTGAAGTTGCAGGGTACCCCGAGAGCTGCAGTGAGGCTGTAGCAAGGTCGAGGGACAGTCTGGGTATCCTGGGGCTGGATGTGTCTGGGCAGGGCATGGTTGTATAGACACATCAGGCAGGGGAAATGTTTTGTGGAAGCTCCACTTACCTCTGCAGGATTCCTGCCCCAGCCAGCACCATCCCTGCAGTGGCAAAACACTGTCCCCACATGGAATCAGTCACTTCTTGCTTTTTCTGTTTTCAGGGTTTCATTTTCCCACTCAAGCTCAGAGGAGAGTGACAGCAGCTTCCCTCTGGTCCTTCTCTTTCCTCTGAAACTAGAAGAGTGGGAAGCTGGGAATGTGCAGGCTGCTGGGGTTAACAGGTCTTGAATTCAGTCAGGTCTTCACTGCAGCCTCCATTCTCCACCAGAGTCTAAAGCAGAGTACATCACTTTGACCTCTGGTGCTGGGATGACCATGTCCCCAGTGTGCCCCAGCTCCACAGGCATGACAAGGGTGGGAGGATCAGGCCTGGTTTGTGGTGTTCACATACCCAGTGTGAGTGTGTGATGCTCCCCTGGATGTATCCCTGACCACCTATTTGCTTCTTCCCCAGTGCAACTGGGTGTCACGCAGGGCAGACCAGGGCCCAAAGACCATCGAGCAGATTCATAAAGAAGCCAAGATTGAAGAGCAGGAAGAACAGAGGAAGGTGCAACAACTCATGACCAAAGACAAGAGGAGACCAGGTAAAGTAAAAGCCAAGTTGGTTGCTGGTTTCACTCATTTCACATCCAGCGGCCATGGAGGGAATCCCACATAGAAGAAAGAAACCTTTTTATTTTCTTAAGTGTAATGAGCAAAGGGAATTGGGGCCTGATTATGGCCGAGACTGGAGAAGGGACAGACTTGACATGGATTGGTTGTGGGCGTTTTTCAGGGGCGAATCTCATGGGTAAAAACAACCAACCACAAGCCAATAGTACTAAAGTTTTCCATTCAGGAAACCATGTTTGATTTCGTGACAGACTGCCAGAAATCTGTTATAATGAGTTATTACGTAGGAGTCAGATTTACCATCCATTCTTGTGTACTGCAGAGTCTGATTTCAAGAGAACAACATCTAATTTCAGGAGTAACCATATTGTCTTGTGAGCTGACTCTGCACGGGGGAGTGTCTTGGCATTACCTGAAATGGCACTACCTGAAGGTGAATTTGGAGCAACTGGGGAAAAAAAGACCAGGACAGAGCAGGGCAAGGAGAAAATCATCTTTAGGATTCTTTCATATAAGGATTGTCAAGTGAAAGTGCTGTGAAAGCAGGGCATAAAGAAGCTGCATGTAGATTTTAGTTATCCTAAAAGTGATGTCAGGAGAAGATGAGAAATTTGGGGGTGCAGGAGAGGTTCTCTATCAGCCTAGCCAAGCACTGCTGAAGTGTGTGGGACACGTGGCTCAGGGTCAGGCTCCTCCGTGAGCCTGTGAGTGCTCAGCATCCACAGCCACATCTCCAGGCTGCAGGGACACACAGAGAAACCAGCCAGGACCAATCCCTACCACAACCAGCCCTTGCAAGCACGGACAGCTTTTATGTCGGGGCTGTTCTATAACGTAAGTCAGGCAGCTGGTCCTGGCACATCAGTCTGCAGAAATGCTCCAGCAGATGTGATTTCTG